AACACACAAATGTGATGTGCATGACTTGTGAATGACGTATTTTTTGAGTTGTGAATGACGTATATTTTTTAGGTTGGGATATGGATGTATCAGTGGTGAATGTAAGTAGTGCTCAAGTTATTACAGAAAACTAATATTCTACTTTACTTTCAATTGATATTGTATTTCCAAAAATAATATTCTACAAATTAATAAAAAATAAATAATATCTAGGTCTCAATTTTGACATTTACATCTTGCCTATTACTTAAAGCTAATCCAATACAAATACCCAGTTCTTCTTTAACTTTCCAGGAGGTTGTCAAACATAGAAACCAGGAACTTCTTAAGTTTCCAGGAGGTTATCAAACACAGAAACCAGGAACTTCTTAACTTCCCAGGGATGTTGTCAAACACAGAAACTAGGAACTTCTTCAGGAACTACTAATGGATAGTTCTTCAGAAACTTCCAATTTACAGTTCATGAGCTTGCTTCCAGTTATCAAACAGGCCCTTAATGTTTTCTCTTTGACCTGCAGAGGGCACCAAATAAATCAATAGTACACAAAGAAGCTATCGGTGTCACCTCTAGTGGTGTGAAACCCATCTTCCCAGCAGTTGCAGCCATGGCATCATCATCCTTCTTCTCTTTCTCTCGAATTCCAGCCTGTCTTTCTCGCACTACCCTAAAAAGGCGTTCTCTCTCTTCTCGTTGCTCTCCTTTCGTCCAACCTCCTGATGTGGCTTAGTTAGCAGAGAGTGCTCGAATTTCACTTACCGCAAATGAGGTAAATCCCTCCTCCCCGGTATTCTCTTTTGGTTTTACTCTTCACTGGGGTTTTATGAAGAAAACCAAACTTAAAGTACATATTTAATTGTGTTTCGAAGGTTGTTAAATGCATCTTTTATTAACGGAAGAAGTTCACTGGCTGCTCACTTGATGTCACAAATTGGTAAACTGGCCTCATCGTTTTGGAGAAACATTGTCTCTGTTTTTCATTGTTTGTTGATGTATGGGTTCATTTACAGGAATCCTGAATTGTTTTCCTCTCCATATGATAATGATGATTTGATCATTCTATGATACTTCTGGTTGTTGGGTTCTGTGAATGGGTATTTGCTTTAAAGCAAATGGGAGAGAACACTCCTTGACTATGAACTGGTATTTTGAACAATGATTGTAATGGTCATAAATGTGATGAAACGAGTGCTAATTCGGAAAGCTCCATGTGATGCATGAGTTTGGCATGAATGTAATACTTTTGCTTTCTACCCCAGCCCTTGTTTCTTGATAAGGGTGCTTGGCCCTCTTTTGCAACTAAACTGTAGAAGAAATTTGAACATTACTGTTCTTTGTTATATAATTAATATTTCAAATTAGTGGCAGCGATCACTTCAATTTATGTTTCCATGTTTTTCTTCTGCTAATTGGCAGGCCGGCATTTTCTCAGGTTTTAAGGCTTATTTAATCTAGATTCTAGCTCCATTATTTTTCTTTTGGTAGTAAAGAGGATATACCTCCATTCGATCTTGGCTGAATGAGAATAGCTATACTTGACATGCTCTTGGCTCATGCTAATTATGATATTAAAGACCTATATTGACATTGACATGATTGTGACATAACTTCGTACTTTATTTTCTTGTTATCTTTCGGACAATTCACTTTCTATTGGATATTTTGTGGCTCCTATTTCAATGTTTCTATTTTGCTGAAGGGAGTGAGAACATCACTTTCCCTTATGGATCTCAAATTTTGTAAATCATTTTTGACTCACGATAATATCTCAGAAATGGCAATGGAAAATCTACTTGACCGTCGAAATAAAAAAAAATCAATCTTTATAGTTGAAATTTGTGATTTTTAGTACATTTTCTTATGAAATGTTTTTACATTTCAGATTGAAGAGTTTGGTCCCAAAATCAAACAAGTCATAGACTGGTATGTACGACTGTCTTTAATCATAAATGATAAAATTTTCTCCTTCTCGTCAGCCATAAATTCATCATACATCATTCTATAGGAAAAGTACTTTGGAGTTGCCTTTAATTTGTCATTCCTATTTATTATCCAAAATTTGTTGCTATTCCACTCAATTAGTTTGTTGAGCTGAAAATCAATGAGTAGCTTCTCAATTTTATTTAAAAATCTTAATTTAAGAATAATGAAGTCTACTTCTCTCCATTAGAATTCAGAGGATCATGTTATAATTGTTATGATCCTATGATGTTCTGATTCAGTATTTAAGTCATTATTAAAGTACGACATGACCAGTACAGTCCAACATGACCTATACATATGATATTGTATGAGTGTATATACTCATGCATCTACATATAGACCCACACGTGCACATTGGTATGTGTTGGAAACTACATCTGTATTTTTCTAGTTATGAATGTATATTTTCCCCTAATTGTTTTATGTGTGCATCCTATGTAATGCCCCTCCAATATCTATATGTGCACATGTGCATGATGATTTACATACCACTATGTTGGCTACTGAAACATCAAAAATTTTGAGAAACTCATTTGAAATTAGTACCTCTGTGACAACTTGACCAATAAGATAATATGCCTTTGCAATGGAATTTGTCCCCCATGTATTTGAAGCTATGGACAGCTATATGTATTAAAAGAAAGCAAGTACTGTCCCATGGGTTGGAGAATTCTATATTTGTGTGCACTTGTTCATGCATCATCTTTGGCAAGCATTTTTCTTGTTTTCATGTAAAGATGACAGAGAATGTATTCGAGATTAACATTTTCCAATTCTTTCATAGAATAACTGATGTAGAGAACTTGAGAAAATAATAAAAATCAGCAAGAAATCTCAACCAAAACGCATGCAATTTTGAGGAAACCCTAGAGTTCCCGCCCTAGCCTTCTTTTCTTTCTTCAATAGAAGTCTGTTTTTCTTTAAAAAAAAGTATGTGATCTCCCTCCAGCCATCCACAGCCCACTTAAATATTGCCTATTTAATATTTTGGACAATATTTGTCCATAAAATTAAATTTTTAACCAAAAAGTCTGACTTAATATAACTTGAAATTAAACTCCCTATCATCATCATCATCATCATCATTATCATTTTAGCCTTTTCCCTATATATATATATATATATGTGGAAAAAGATGTCATTATAGCTAGTATATATGGAAAAAGATTGCCTTAGCTACTAGCTATAATGAATAGTATAAGCTACTGATGCAGGGAGAAAAAACTAAAACTAATAACAAATGTGAGAGAATTTACACTTTCTCAAGGTCTGCAAGCGAATCCACCCCAAAACGATCGCTTCACAAGATCAACTTATTGAATTTAGATCTTTTCACAAGATCAACTTTTTTTCAATTCTCATTCTTTGATCATTCTCTGATCTGTTTACAATGAAGAGACATCTCCCTTTAAATAGACTTTGAAGAAAATAAATAATTAAATAAATAAAAAAACCACAAAAATGAACTCTCTCTCTTCCACGTTTTACCTCTCCCTCCCTATTTTCTCTCTCCATCACCATATTTTCTCTCTTTCCTCACTGTCTCTATACCCATCACGTGGAGTCCCCTGAATCAAGGAAACTCCCCCATCTTCATATACTCCCCATATTCTTCCCATATCTAAATCCCTATCTTTCTCATACTTAAATCGCCCTTAAATCTCTCACTAGATCTAAGATAAGCTTAAAAAAACCTAACTCACACCAAGATTTATCTTTCCTAAAAACTCACGCTACCCATTCCTAAAAAGATAAATTTTAAAAATAATAAAATTCAGTTCTAAAGTTTTCCTAATTTCTATCTGCATCATTCTCCCCGGTTGGGAGAAGCTCAACCTCGAGCTTGAAGCCAATCATGCTCTAATAATTGGCGATGTAATCCCACCATGCGCTTCAGCACCTTTTCTTTAATTTTTTATTAAGCCGTTTCAACAAATGCTTCATACTTATCTTGAAGTAGAACACAGTGAATTTAGATTCAATCTTGATTTCTCCTTCAAACTCACTTGTTTGGATTTCAAATACTGCATCACACGTATGTTCTTCATAATTTATTTTCAAAATTTCTTCTTTTTCTTTAGATTTGATATTCAAAATTTCTAGCACATTGGCATCGCCTTTTGTATCGAGACATACTTCTTCATATTCTTCTTCCTCTTGTTTCGATTGTAATCTATGAAAGAAATCTCGTAGAATTTGTTCTACTACTTTGCTAATGCGCTCTGCGAGGTCTTCTTTGGGTCTCTCAAATCTTTGATCCAATCGCTGCAACCATTGATTCATGTCACGAACTTTGTTTCGAACATCTTCTAAGAACTCAAGGCTCTCCATATCAGCACAGATCTTAGGGCTCTAATACCAATTGATACAGGGATAAAATAATTAAAGTAAAAACAATAACAAAAGTTAGAGAATTTATCCTCTCTCAAGGTCTGCAAGAGAATGCACCCCAAATCAATCTTTTCACGAGATCAACTTTACTCAATTTGGATCTTTTCACAAGATCAACATATCTCAATTCTCATTCTCTGATCATTCTCTGATTTTTTTACAATGAAATGACATCTCCCTTTAAATAGACTTTGAAGAAAAGAAATAAAAGAACCACAAAAATTAACTCTCTCTTTCTCTTCCACGTTTTTCCTCTCCCTTCCTATTTTCTCTCTTTCCTCAAGTGTTTCTATACCCACGTGTGGAGTCCCTTGAATCAAGGAAACTTCCCCATCTTCACGTACTCCCCATTTCCTTCCCATATCTTTTTCATACTTAAATTTCCCTTAAATCTCTCATTAAATCTAAGATAAGCTTAAAAAAAACTAACTCACACCAAGATTTACCTTTTCTAAAAACTCACACTACCCATTCCTAAAAATATAAATTTAAAAAAATAATAAAATTGAATTTGGAATTTTTTCAAATTTTTATCTGCATCATCTACTAGCTCCCAGGCATCAGATCTTTATTGAGTGGTTCAAAATTCATATCACTATTTTAATTTTAATTCTTTTTCTATAAATTAGATTAAGATAAAATTTTGGGTGTATATACCTAACACTATTGTACACCATATAAAAATATAAAACAATTACTTTCAATAATTTAAAATAACCAAATTACGCCATCATTTTTCAGGGGTATTTTAGGTGCACCTCACTGAGGCACACACCCACAAAATTTGCAGTTAATCTGATTTCTTAAAAAACAAAATAAAATTCAAACACTGTCAGACAACCGTGTTATGGACGTGACTCATGAGTGTTTTTTAAGTGTTTCCCACATATGTGTGTGTGTGTGCATGTGTGCATGTGTTTTCCTAATATATATTCCTCTGTGTGTGTGTGTGTGTGCGCGTGTGACTGACGTGAATGGGAACTAAAATTTATTCTTCAACCACCATTGTCTTTCGATGATGTCCATGAAATGTTGAGATCAATCTTCTAATTGCTATTAATATAAGGCGTCTAATCAAGTAGACACACATGCACGCACACACACTCTACTATAGTATATTGAGTTAGTGACTATGGCAACTCTTTATAATCGAAATTAATCTTATATATCAATATTCAAAAAAAGAATCCCATCATAAATCTAAGGACTATGGATCACGATCCCATGTGAAACGGGATTGAGATCCCATGCTAAATGGGATCATGGTCCCATATTGTCCAAGGGCAAGCTCCCAAGGAGTTTCAGCCTTGGTAACACCAAACCCCCGAGGAAAGTCGCTCTGCTTAACTATGGCTAGATATACATTTAGTAACACAATCCCTAAATTCAAAATCTAGAAAACAATACCTGTGTAGGACCAAAGGGGCTTGGCTGCTACATGAGTGTGACACGTGAGGTGGGCATAGAATGAAAGGGTTTGGGTAATGATTGGGAGTTCTAAATAGGTTAGAATTTAGGATTTATAAAGGGTTTTAGGTCCCTTCGGAGATTGGGACTTCAGGGTTTGTGCCTTATGAAGGTTTCCTAATTCTGGTAGAATTAGATAATACGGGGTCTAAATGAAGTAGAAATAAGTCAGCGTTATGGGAAGAGTTTGGTTGGGTTAGGGCAAGGTTTACTACAGGTTTTATGCTATCTAAAGGGATCAAAGTTTGCTGGAATTTCACAGTTCAGTAAGGAATGATGGTAATAAGAAGGGTTCTGTGGTTGAATTAAGGCAAACCTATGTTTTGAGGTTGTAGGGGGGTGTGTGATGGGTTTTAGGAGGCATTGGTTAGCTTATTATGGTTCAAGAAGGGTGGTTTGGAAGGGAAATATTCTATTTCAAATTCAATCTCTGCTATGACTGGCCTTGAGCCTACACCTTTATATATGTAGTTCTGAACATCTTGTCTTCCTTAACTTGATGCTAAGGCAACCCTAAATCTTTCCTAGATCTATCTCTTCTAATATTAGGGAACTAGATCCTAGTTACTAGAATTTCCCAACTTAGATGTTCGTCCCACTCCTAGATTTTTGTTCTAGCGCCTCTAGATAGGGATCTTGATCCCACTTTTTAGGGATCGCTCCTAGCTACTCGAAGGGGCAACAAGAGGCCAAAAAGATGATTCATTTGGGTTGTAGTTGCTCTCTCTCACACACACACATGCTTTTGGATGTTGTAAAGTGTAAAACTGCAAATGGAGCAACTTGTTGCTTTTGAATGTTGTAAAGTGTAAAACTGCAAATGGAGCAACTTGTTGCTTTTGGATTTTGTGTTAGTGTTAAATTGTAAATAAAACATATTTTTATCAATAAAATCAGATCACTGTAATGTTATTGGTTATCCTGTCATGCATTGTCATGATGTTTTATTGTATTTTATGAGATAATTGTTACATAAACTACACCTCAAATGAATATGATAATTTTGTTAATTAAATAAAGATTAATTAATAAATAATAACTTTTTTATTTTGTGTGCCCATTTTTATTGCATTTTTTGGAATTATTAATTTTTTAAATTTTTGATTTAAGAAATTATTTATTAATTTAGAAATTGTACGAAATGTGCTTCCGACCTAGGGAGCTTCCTACTGTGTTGATCCATCATTCCCCTTAATGCGCCCACCCCTGCTCCTGCTCCAAGTAATTATGAATTAGATCCTCTATAGTTCTAGAAAACTAACCGTTTTAACATGTTTTAGAATAATTGTAACAAAGGGAAAAAGAAAGTAACTTCAATTTACTCTGACAAAGTCAATGTTCCAGAAGTTCCTATTTAAATATAAAATTTGTGATAAAAAATTTCATCTGAGTTTTGACCAAGATTTGAGACAGAAACATTCGAAGTGAGAAAAAGCTTAGAGATGGTAGTCATAGGTCTCATAGAGATTTTTGATTTGAGATTTGAATCACCTCAAACAAACCTCCCAAGTGAAAATTTATGCTCATAAAAACCAATCTGCATCAAAAGTTTGGTTGATCAGCATTTGTAAAACCAATAAGTTGAACAATGGAGTTGGAGACCATACGTGAGGGGATTGCTTAAATTGTTGAGCATCTTCATGGAGTGATGGGTCACAGCAGGATCAGTATGAGGATCAAATGCATAGTTACCGGAATCTATCCACCAACCTCGCGTTTCCGGTTCCTAAACCCGATTCCTAAACCCGATTCCGCGTTTCCGTTAAGGAATCTCCACGGAAACCGTTTTTCGGAACCAAGGAAACTCGATTCCTTAATTTCGAAATCTCGATTCGACACAACTTTAGAAAACTTTTTTCGGAACAAAGGAAACTCAATTCCTTAATGTCGGAATCTCGATTCAACACATCTTTAGATTCCATTTATCAGAACCAAGGAAACTTGATTCCTTAATTTCGGAATCTCGACCCAACATATCTTTGAAAACTTGAATCCATTAACTGTGGGTAGACATTATCAAATATATTGAATCTAGATACTAGCTAGGATTAAATCTTGATTTCATGTCAATTGGAGTAGAAATCTTCTTTCAAATGCTTCTAGTGGTTGCAGGGTTTCATTATTTTACTTGTGCCACCCTGGATGGCCTTTACTTTAAAATATAATTGGTAAATACAACATATACAATTAAAAGTAAAACCATGGTGTAGACATAATCCTATTTTGTCTTTATAATAATGAAGTCAAAATCACAATTTAGGAATACTTGTCTTTTCTATATAATGACCATAAGTTCAATAGTCAACACAATCACTTTAAAAATCGACAAACCTTTTAATAAGAGACATCCAATATAGGTTCTAAAGTTGATGAGGCTCAAGATGTGCTTGTGGCTTCCTTCTCCATAAAAATGAAATCTTGATTCCTAGTAAGGGTCGTCAAACGCATTCCATAGTCCATATTACTGCAATCTGGCATGGATCTCTGATTTATATACTTTAAAAACTTGATTCCAAATATGTTAGAATCCCGATTCGAAACAACAACATATCTATGTTCCACATATGTCAGAAACTCAATTCCATAGATGTCGAAAACTCGATTCTGCATATTAAAGAATCTTGACTCCCGGAGTGTCGATTCCAGGGGGATGGGAATCCCGATTCCAAGGAGGATGGAATCTCGATTCCATAGGTGAATAGAACTTGGATCTCTTTCGGTCGAAACACGATTCTCAAAAACTAGGAACCTCGTTCCCAGTGATTCCTATTGTACGGGCAACGATTCCTAGGACAAGAATCTTCTAGCTGGTTGTGATTCTGGTTCCTAAAACGATTTGGGTTCCTAGGCGTTTCCAACAACTATGATCAAATGGATGACCTTTTTATGTATTTGGTTTATCACTGCTTTTGATTAGTTGGGCTCCTGATAATGGCCATTTATGCTTGACTAAAAGATGCTATTGGTGCAATATTTGATACGTAAGATTTAAGAAATTGTTGCCCTCGATGGCTAGTTGGTTAGAAAAGAAACTTGCTATCATTTCTAGATTCGTAAAATCGAATTTATGCGCATTGTGCACTCAAAGATGCACTTCCTTAAATGATCTCAACTTGAAGATTTCTTTAATTTATTAAACCTGATTGATATTCTGAGTACAAAAATGATAACTCTCAAAGGCTCCCTCCATTTGCTTCCAACTTGATTTATACTGCCACTTACCATGAAAAATGGAATTGTTCTCATGTTTGTCATGTCTGAAGGTTCTTGTAGCTATTTCATTCTTTGTAAAACCTGTAGTCACTACTTGTGTTAAATTGGTGGGTAATATTCATTTTATAGGATTGGGGCACTGGCGTGATTGTTTATGGTGTTGGGGCACGCAACACTACATCCCATGTCTGAATCCCATGCTGATCAACCATAAAGAAAAAAAAGGCAAACTACTCATTTGATTGGATTTTGATCCATGAAATACTCTCTTGGATAGATAAAACAAAGTTATACAATTTGTAGCTACCATTTTTCCAAATCATGAAGGTTTGACTAACAATTTTCTCTAACCCCCCTTCCCCCCACCCCCACAAATCCTCCAAAATTCAGGGATGTAAAAACAGGTACGGTTCAGATCCAATAAATAAAAAATATGGAAGTTTATTTTATATATTATAATAATACAGTTAAGACATATTTCTAAGTATATTTTTAATATTTTAGTTGACCATACTTGATAGGGTCCAGGCTGGACCCAGACCCTGACCTGATCGGGGTCAGGTCGAGGTTGAGGGGACCCAGATCGAACCCATAGGGCCCACTATCTGGGTCCAGACCCAGACTAAGTAGGTTGATCCATTGGGTCCGGGGGTCGAACCAACCCTTTTCATACCCCAACTAAAATTCATTTCTTGAGTTCTGATGTAGTATTGGGGAACTGCAGTTTGGTGATCGTATGTCGCATAGTTTTCAAATATGGACTCATGTTGGGCCTTGGTAGTCTCTTGATCTATGTCAAGTTGGTAGGAGTTTTGCAGAATATAAAATACAACAATAATGTTGTGCGAGTTTCATGGCTATACAACAAGTTGAGGTGGGATCTTGAGGTGAGTCCTAAGCTGGCTCACTGAGTTCTAAACTGCGGCTTGTGGCGCTATTATGGTTTGATTATTTGATGGAGGACATGTATTCTTTACTTATAATAATGTGTTTAAAGTTGTTCATTATGTAATATCTAGTCACTTAAGCTTCGGCTAATTGGTAGTAATATTGATTAGGGTGAAGGGAGGTCTAGGATAGAACCCTTGAAGTTTGTCCAGAAAAAGCCAACACGAACCTAGCTTTTTATTTAACCAAGTCATATCAAACAATTGTCTTGCATTCATGACCCTTTGGGTACTTTCTTTTTTATCATTCTTACACCACCCACAATCCATTTTTTTTTAACTTTATGTATATTTTTTAATGGATTTACTGCTTAAGTTCTTTCTAGAATTTGGGCATGTTCTTGTTTGAAATGTTTTTGGACACCAATGAAATGGACACATTTGTTAATTTATGGAATGGAATCTATTCCCCTTGCATTCTTTGCTTTTGCTTTCATCGAGTTTTGCATATAAATGATGTTTGGCCTCTTTTCTAGTTGTTTTATAAACTCCTTTATCTTTTGTTATGGTTGAGCAGGTTTGGACAACTTCAAGCTGTTAATCTTGAAAGCATTGAACCTGCACTTCGAGCCAGTTCTGTCCTAACTTTTGAATGAATTTGATACTGATGCATTTAAAAGAAAATTATGTCGATCAAATTCAGAGCATGGAGTTCAGCTGTTCCTATAAAATTCCCTTGTTTTTACATGCAGACAAGTATGGAATCTAATCTTTTCATACTGGAAGCAGCATCTAGTAATAATTGAAGATACCAGATATGGTTCTGGATATGAAGCATGGGGATATGAGTTTGTATTTGTCAAAATCAGGGACACTGATACTAGTGTCCTGTCATGTACGTCTATAAATATAATCTTGTGTATTACATAAAGATATGCATCCAGCACATCAATACACATACCATATATTAGTGCATACTTTGCATTTGGTCATAATATTTTTTTAGAAATATCTCATTTTATATTTACTCGTGTCCTAGCAGAATCCTGTATCAGTATTGATGATAACATGATACGAAACCTGCATATTAAACATGTACATGTCTCCCAGCATCGCAAGTAATAAGTATGGTAAGAAGAAAGCCATGACTTTGGTTTGGTAGGTGTAAGATGCGCATTTCGTGTTGAAATCTGCAACTGACATGTCCTTGGAAGTGTTAAGACACTTAATTAAAAGTACACAAAGTTTTTGGATGTTTGAGTGGAGTGGTAATTCTTGGGCATGATCAAACTCCTGATGCATTTTGGACATCAACAATCTCTTTGATGCCTGATTAAGATTGGGTTTTATGCCTTTGTATGAGTGAAATTTGTTTTCTGGACTCAATTGGAACATCTGTTTAGACAGTATATTTTGTCTCTATCCCACATATGGAGCTTTGCCTCCATCTCACATATGGAGCCTGATAACTCCTAGTTGTTCGAAACTTAGATTGCCATAATGATTTCAGCATGTGGTCCACTATCTCTTTGTCCCATGCATTGTTGTAGATGCTACATGTTATTCAAGACTATATGATCTGTTTTGGTTGAAGTATTCGTAGATATTAATATATTATTGCCACAGATAGGTGCACATAGAAGTGGATATTTGGTTTGACTTAAATGAACACTATTTTGCATATGAGGCGCAGTTACTTTCATTTTCCTCATTATGGATAACTTGTTGAAACCTTTATGCACTTGTGTGCGACCTAACCTGGCATCTCATGTTGCACAGATCTTAAACTTATTAAATCTATGCTTTGAGAAGGCCTTATCTGATTGTTATCTGCCTTATACCTAACTTGGTGATCGTAGTTTGTTATAGTTGTAGCAATGCTGATGTAGGCTTGATTGTGTCTTTGGGCTTCCCTTGTATCTTGTAGTATGCCTCCTGCCATTTCCAAATGTTGAGGCGAATTCTGCTCTATGAGGCTCCCTGCTTTTGAGAGTATGCTTCCTGCCATTTCCAAATTTTGAGATAGATTTTGCGCTATGAGGCTCCCTGCTTTTAAGAGTATGCGTCCTGCCATTTCCAAATGTTGAGATAGATTTTGCACTATGAGGCTCCCTGCTTTTGAGATTATCATGTTAGTCGCTTGTTTAACATCCAGTTCTGTTTTCAACAACGTGAGAGTTGCATAGTTTGCTAATTCAGTAGTTTCTTAATACCAGTTAAAGGCCTAGTGAATGATTGGTCATGTGGGGTTGTAGGGTCATTCTGTTACATGGTTCAGTCTTTCGGTTGGTTGGCATCAAGTGTGTGACTAAATGATTCAGAATCCTATTTGCCCAAGTGAAATCAAATAGCACTGGCTAATATATAATATTGCAGTTCTGTAAACCCGAGGGTTATGTGCATGGGTAATCTTTAACCCTATTTTCTTTCTAGAAATAAATTTGACACAAGGAGGGAGGGACAGAGAGAGGGATGCTAAACTCGATATCTATTACCGGAGGAAGTGAGAATACACGAGCAGATGAACCTGAAATTTTTGGAAACAGGTAAGCTTTTCACTCCTTTTTTGCTGTGAAAAAAGATGGTGGTTAACTAGAATTAATCTTTTTGCTGAAAGCTCTACTTGATAAACTGATGCAAATTTTAACATGGTACAGAGAGGCCATGATAGCAGCAGTTCCAAGCTACAGCGAGCCATTTATCAAGTTCCCAAAGCCTTGAACAAGGAATAATTTTTTAAAGGGTGCTCTCACCCCAAAAATCTTAGGGCTTCATGTAGACCTGTCATTCTTTTGCTGATCTCCTAAGAAATTTTACATTACCTGCAAAATTGCCAAAGAACTTGTACATTGACGGATTGATGAAAATTCATTTCATCCATGGGTACCTGATGCAGGACTTTTTTCATATGAACAACACAAAATATGATTAAAGTGACTTAGAAACCCATCTTAATGTCATTAAACTTGAAAGGGCTATGAATCATGGGAAAGTGTAATCTTGCTTTTTTGGGTAAAACACCCACTTGGGAGGATCCAAAATTTTAAGAATCATCTAGGGATTAGCGTTCAAATAAAAATAGCGATCTAAAAAATGGCTTGTGTTCTGTTGTGTAAGTTTTTTTAAGGCAATATATTTAGGTTGTTCGCTGGGATTAGGGCTGACAATGGTCGGGTATGGGTTGGGTCCTGCTGGACCCGGACCATAAATAGTACGTGTACCCGGACCTGGACCCGATGGGTCCAAAATGAGGGTACCCGTGGACCTGGGACCTGTACCCATACCCGATCGTGGAGGTTTGATTTTGTTTTTTTTTATACTGAAATAATTGACTGCATTAGTATTTGATTAAGTAAATTTTGTTGTGTTTTAGAAGAGTCAAACAGTAGTTCTGCTCAACAAAACCCCTACAAAATTTTACCCAAACAAGCATCCAATTCTGAGCAAAATTCGGTCAACTTCTGACGGAGCTTGAAACATTTCAGGTAAAAAAAAAGGTGAATTCTTCCATACACTAAGCATCCCCATATAAAAAATATTAGAAAAAAAAACAAATAAGCCAAAATATTGGAGAAAAAACCAAAATCAAAATTCTAACAGCAAAAAAACATGCACAGATTGGCTTAAAATTGGCACTATTAAAGATGAGATAACAAGGGGAAGATGGATCAGACAATAATTTACGTGTTTAGGAGAGGAATTGTACAAATTGGGGTTTCCAAGAACCACAGGTGCAGGGAACTATAGCACAAACCCTAGAAATCAGAGATACTTCCCTGTCTCCTTTCTCTCTGAATGCCTACTCAGAGACCTCAGGGAGATGCGGCTGCCTGGCAGTGGCTGGACTTCAAACAGAGAGAGGGAGACAGCGCAGTCAAAGCTTCGAATAGAGAAAGGGAGAGAGCTCAAAGAATGAGAGAGGATGCTGTTGCAGATCAGCAGAGGATGAGAGGAGCCGTAATGGTGATTTGGGGATTTTAGGAATTAGGATTTGGGTAAAAAAAACTTAAAAAGTGCTTTATATTTTTAAGGGAAATTATCGTTAATATACTCATATTTTAAGAAAATTGAAAAAAAAATCCGAACTTTTCAAAACCTCGTCCACATTTTTTTTTCACGAATTTTGGTTTTTTTTGGACGAAACTATCTTTTACAGTCTTTGTACCGTAAAAAGCATTATGGTATTAAGAGTACTGTAATGAGCATTATGATATTAAGAGTACCGTAATGAGCATTACGAATTGTTAGTACCATAATGTATTTTAAATGTTTTACGGTCATAAAAAAACTGTAATGGAGTTGAATATCGTTACGGTACTAAGAGTATTGTAATGTTCTTTTTGGTGTGGAGATGTTTCATGACATCGTTGCTTGAAAGAAGTGTTCATCTTAGGGGTATCTTCATGGAGGCATCGTAGAGAGAGTAGCGATTAGTCCTTTTGCACCAACAATTCTACATTTTCTCTACCAACACTGTACAATTCTACCTTTTCTCTTCAGATTCTCGGAATCATTGCCCACTCGTGCACTAATATGAAGAATCAGTTGCAAACCAATGTAGAAACATCAACCAACAAAATAAGTTTTCAGATGAAGCATTATAGGACTGTTCAAGAGGGTAAAAATCAAATTCAACTGGCTCACCACATCTATGAGAGTTTCAACGAGAGCGAGGCTATTGATGATGACATTGCCCATCTCCCTTGTCACCTCAGACACATAACCAAGAGCTCTAAGCCCAATGCACCTGGGGAAGACTTGCAAATACTCATAATTGACGGTCTCGCTCCCACCTTCAAAGCTTGGATTCCACAAAGGTTCAGAAGCTTGGGCCATTTTCACAAACTCATCCATTGCTGTCAATGCGAGCTCTGCAAGCATCGATCTCTTGGGATTCCTTGCACTTCCCATCACATTTAGCTGCGGACAAGTGATGAAATCAGCACCTTGGGGCAACGAAGCATATGTATAATTGTTGGAGTAAAAGGACCCACCCCTACTCTCTCTTTAAGAGGCCTCCATGAAGACACCCCTCGCATGAGCACTTCTTTCAAGCAACGATGCCATGGAACATCTCCACCTGAGCATTACGGTACTCTTAGTACCGTAATGATATTCAACTCCACTCCGATTTTCTTATGACCGTAAAACATTTAAAGAGCATTACGGTACGAACAATATCGTAATGCTCATTACAGTACGTTTAATACCAAAATGCTTTTTACGGTACAAAAACTACCGTAAAGGGAAATTTCTTCTAAAAAAAGTTAAAATTCGTGAAAAATGGTGTGGGTGAGTTTTTGGAAAGTTGGGTTTTTTTTTTTTTCAAATTTTTTTAAAATATGGGTATATTAGCGATAATTTCTCTATTTTTAACGTAATAATACTTAAGATGATAACTTTGTATAATAACTTCAGGTATGAGACATGTATTATAACTTGGGGTATTATACTTAATAACTTTGGGTATACTATATTTAGCATAACGACTTCGGGTCCCGAATCCAAATTGGGTGGGTCCAATATTACCCAGACCCATACCCGAAAATTTTCGGGTTATACCCGGGTCCATTGCCACCCCTAACTAGGATGACAGATTGCATATGCAAAATTTGGGTTCTGAAAACACCAAGTTCAAGCTCATCTTTGACTAAGAGTTGCCGAATTTCAACCCCTGCTTCTTGGAAAAATTTTGATATTGTCTCCAAGAATAATAGTGAAGATTGCACCCCATCATGCTTGTTCAAGTAGATATCAATTCAAATATAGGGTTCACGTACATTTGAGGTCTTCTTCAATAATCCATCTTAGATATAGATTCCAGACTTAGATTTTACAAGATTCAACCACCAAGATCATGAATAGTATAAATTGTATTATAAGGCTTAATTTTGTTTTTGGACCATTCATTTTAAATCGTCTCATATTACCAAATCTGCACTATTTAGAATTCATAGTTCTAAGCAGAAATACCTCTAGAGTGGCTTAGTATGTGTTTTAGATCCTAAATCCATCTCTAAGATAGATATTTGGGAAAGGACTGTATTTAAATACCACCATTTATCTTGAACAAAAGGAAAATGGTCTCTTTGTAGACAATCCCTTTTCTTATTAAGAAAGATAGACTTGTCTGCTGAAGGATCAAGTTTGCTCTATAAACCCCTAACTCCAAACAGGTGCTTGGTGGAGTTAATTATATTTCTTTCGAGAGTTTTACCTTTACCATACGAATTAAATAACCAGAACTACAAATAGGGTTTTAAAATCAATATTTTAGAAGGGCTCTAATCTAGTTATAACTTTTCAAATTTAAGTTCTCTAAGTGACAAAAAATTTGGAATAATATATAATGAGGCCATTTATCTTTGGTATAAGGTGGTTACAATTAATCATGACCATTGGATGTGAAATTAGATGGATGCATTTATTCCATTGACCAAGCTCAAACTTCAAAATAAACTTTTTCAGACTTCGTGACATACCCAAGCTATCAAATTTCACATAAGATGTTTATTTATTTATTTTGGCCTCGTATCAGAGGTAAATGGTCTTATTTATACAATCCCAACAAATTTAAAAAAGGTTATGAGGTGCATGTTGGTAAAACATCTAGACCTTTAAGAGCAGTTGATGGTCAAATTCTGTTAAATTTTATTTCTCTCATTTGATAACAAAAATCTGTTGAATGCTACTCGAGATAGATACGTAAAACTCCCTCTTTTACGCCTACCCGCATGTAGGAGGGAGGACCGTTAGATGATCAAGAATTGACTGTGGTTGATTGTTAATCATTTTTGTAGAAATTCAATGTATAAAGGAAAAGGTTTATACAAGGGTGATGTCCTAAACAATCAAAGATGCACCTCAAAAATTCACTATAAGAGGTTGTTTTGATGCCAAAAATCCTCAAATAGATCATCTTAATCTCACGATGTATGGACATGAGAAAAAATGAATTTCAAGTCTTGGAAATAGTGCATCTTATAATGCATTTTCTGGACCGTTGCTTTTCATGATTTTCAAGTATTCATAGATTTGCTCGATCCACACTGTTTTTGAAGCTTTAAATTTTATAGTTAGAGACGAAAACATATTTTCAGGCTAACACAAAGATTTTCAGTATTGAAATAATATCTCTAGACATTATTCGAATGAGTGCCTTACTTTGATTGCTTAGGACCTCAGCCTTATACAAACTACATAGAGCCGAGGCTCTAAACAATCAAATTAGAGCCTACCTCAAAAATTTCACTAGAAGAGGTTGTTTTGATGTCCAAATATCCTCATATTGATCATCTCAACATCAAGATGCATGGACATGAGAAAAAAATGGATTTCAAGTTAAATAGCGTATTTTGTAACGTATTTTTGGACTGTCAATTTTCAAGATTTTCAAAGTTTCATAGATCTATCAATCTACACTATTTTTGAAGCTTTAAACGTTATAAATACAGATGAAAATATATTTTAAGGCTGTCACAATAATTTTCAGTATTGAAACTGCATTTCTTGATACTATTTGAAGGTAGGCTCTAATTTGATTGTTTAGAGTCTAGGCACTATACAAACCGCCTATATAAAAAGTTTATAGAGTTGAGGTTCTAAACCATCAGAACCCACCTCAAAAATTTCGAATGTTTTGATGCTGAAATATCTTCATTATCTCGACATCAATATACATGGCCATGAGAAAAATATGGATTTCAAAAGATTTAAACTAGTCCTTTTATACATGCACGTTTTGTGTGTGCTTCAAGTTAAACAGAGGAGATGGAAAATGGCTTCTCTCCTCCTTTTCCCACCGTTCGCAATCACCCACCGCTCTTCTCAACCACAACACCACCACCACTCCACCTCTCAGTAACAAGCCCAAAGGCCTCCAATGGAGACCAATACCTCAGCTCTAATGGAGGCCAAACCAAAATCAAAAGAAGAGTGAGAATTTGGGATTGTCTTGTTCCTTTAGAACAGCAACGAGTGAGGGAGTACAAGGCTTTGGCTAGCTCTGCCCTCTTCTCGTGGGCGGCTGGCAATGTTGGGCACAAAGGGCAAAGGTTGGCAGCAGTTGGCCCAGGGTTTGCAGTACTCCTCGGGTGGCCTACGGCTTGCTTCGGGGCAATGCTTCACCACAATAATCTGGGTTTGAATTCTTTGGATTCAGAGAGAGAGGTGATGAGTTCTTTGGTGGGATCAGCTTGCGTTGGGCTTGTCGTCGCAAACCTTGCGGCTCTCTGAATGTACCTGGGCTGGGCCTATATCGGCAACCGCCTGCTCAGTGCCACAGTGGAGTGTAATCTCTCTCTTTTTCTCTCTCTCTGATAGACACATTATTCCCATGATGTGAGCTTCTTCTGGTGATGTATGATGCTTCTCTCTCTTGGGATTGTTTCTCTCTAGTGTGTAGATTTTTTTTTGTTTATCAAACTTAACTATTCTTTCATGGTTTCTAGCATGTTGGGTTTTTTGTGATGGCATAGGGACTCTCCCATTGTTTGCATCATGTGGAATTGTGGACTTTCCTAATTCTATTTCTCGATGGAATGCAATTTGAACTTCATATTCACTCTATCCTCCCCCCTTTCTTTTCCTTGACTCCTCCTTTCCATGTGTCTTTGAAGTGTATTGTTTCTGCTAACATGTAAACTTTCTCCTCTTGGTTTTCTCTCTGTACTGTAGATTGTGATTCCTCCTTTTTATCAGTTTCTTGATATAAGTTTATGTTCATGATTGTTGATTTGGGACTTCCTTTGTTGCAGATGAGGAAACAGCGTGATACGATGAGCAGGTACAAACTTTATTATTTGGGAAATTTATGAAAATGCCCATAAGAGATTAAGTATATAACATTGTAGCCACTTGTAACTATTCCTCTTAAGATCATGTATATATATATATATATATTAAAGCCAAAGCCAAACAACTACCTTGTTTAGTAATTGCCCATCCAAAAGCTTTTACAATTATTGAAACATATGCTTCAGAACTCGGTTATCGCGGAATCCTCAAACAAAGGTTTCAACCTACTGAAAAAGAAAAATGGTAAGGTACACTTCAGGGATTTGAAGCCCTGCACAACAAAATTATTCAACTATAAAAAAGGAAATCCTTTCAATAATAAAATGTGTTACAAAATTTGAAAGCGATATTTTGAATCAAGAATACTTGATAAGGGTAGATTGTAAGGCTGCCAAAGACATTTTGGAAAAAGATGATAAAAATATAGCATCTAAGTAGATATTTTCCAGATGGAAAGCCATTCTTTCTCACTTTGATTTTACTATAGAATATATAAAAAGGGAGTCATACTCCCTGCATGACTTTTTGGCTCGTGAGTTTTTACAATGATACTTGAAGAAAGATGGAAGCCAATGCTTGTAGTAGTAACAACTTTATTAGACCTTCTCCTAAAAATAAGGAGGTAAATGAAAAAACTGAAAGTTCTAAAAATAGAACACCTTATATTGGAAAATCATTATTACCAATAATCGTTATTGAAAAAGAATATGCTCTAAAAGAGCCAAATCAAGTGGCAGAAGCTTATCTTATAGATAACATGCACCCTGAAACAGGGTACAAAACTCGAGTGGCAGTTACTTATTTCCTGTTTCACATTCAATGGGAAAATAGCACTGGCGAATTACTCTTTGTGCGTTCATGCTCAACCACGACTTAGGGTTCCACAGGATCAGGCGTACTGTCACTTACGACTTTAATAGTTTACTTATTTTGGAAAGGCCAAAATTTTAGGAATAAAACTAGATAGTGTAATTTGGCTCCGATACCATTAATTCCAGAGTTTTAATTTATTTCTAGAGTTTAATAACTCAATAAAATTACTCCTAAAAACAATAATATGACAACAAGCATGCAACAAAATAGTAATGAAATAGACAAGTTAAAAATTATTACATAAGAGACTCTTATAGTTCTGATACAAACTACAAACTTTACTTGCATAACCAAACACATACATTTCACAGATGCAAAAGCTAGTAAATAGCTTCAGTTGTTCAAGAATGTAGTCTGGAACTTCCTTCAAGAAGCAATCACACATGTACAATACTTTAATTACAGGGTTTTCTCACATACAAGACTCTCAAAAGTTACTAGATGAGATACTGGAATTAGAAACTTAGAACTAGAGACTAATACCAAACTTGCAGAAAGAAAAATTCCTAAAATTTTCGATGCCTGAGAATAAGGCTTTCCTCCCTATTTATAGACAATAGATCGAACTTCAAAATTTTATTTTGGAGTTCGGAGGATGATGTGACTCAACAATCTTCAATTATTGTCCTTGCTATAGTAACCTTGTCGACACTACAGTGACCTTCAATTATTGTCCTTACTATAGTAACCTTGCCAACACTTTAGTGCTTTTAATTATTGTACTTGCTACAGTGGTCTTGTCATGTCTTCTACATAAATTGCTACAGTTTTTCCCTTGTCGGTGGAGAGTATCGTCATGCGTATGTCATTTTATTGGGCCTTCGTGTCCTGGATTTTTTGGAGTCGGGTCAGCCCATTAAGGATTTCTGATGGGAGTGAGTACTCCATATGAGTCATCTCCATTGTCTTCAGCATGGTCTTCAGTATGGTCTTCCTCCTTGTCTTTTGAGGAGGATATGGACATATCGTCTAGCTCTTCATCGTTTAGAGCTAATAATATTTGTCTTTTGATTTCCTTATTGGATAATTCTGGATTATGTTCTTTTAAGAGCTTAAGGTAGTCTTCAATCTTCTTAGGATGTGGGATTTCCCTATTAGCTTGTTTAAGCTTTTCTATTGTTATATTATGTGGTTAGAGATAATTATCATTGAAAGAATCCCACCATTTTATCATAATTCTCCTTTCCAAATAAGGAAGATAGTTCAATTCATTATTATTATGGGTTATGAAATATTCCCATCTTAGGATCCAGGGGATCTCATAGATTGCTGTAAAATGCATGCATAAGTCCACATCATTTATTCCTCTATTAGAGGCCTGGAAGAGCTCATATGATTCTATTAAGTCTTCTGGGTAGATATCTGGAGTAGGACCCCACATCAATATCCACCTTTTAAACCATTGGGAAAATACACTTATTTTAGTATTTAATCTAAATTGTATAAACTAACTATGTGTCCTCATAGAATTTTGGAATAATAGGACTGCATCCTATGCTTTTCTGTGGTCATAGTAATTATAAGCCTTGACTTTTAAGGCTCTTGATAGGTATTTATGCCCCAGGGAATCAAGACCCCATTATTTGAATGTAATGATCGTTAAGATTTGAAAATTTGAATATCCAATAATTTGACTATTCTAATTGTAATGCAAAATTCTTATTGACTCTGTTTCAGTCAATATTTTTCATAATACTCTCGAGTTTTGTACCCTGTTTCAGGGTGCATGTTATCTATAAGATAAGCTTCTGCCACTTGATTTGGCTCGTTTAGAGCATATTCTTTTTCAATAACGATTATTGGTAATAATGCTTTTTCAATATAGGGTGTTCTATTTTTAGAACTTTCAGTTTTTTCATTTACCTCCTTATTTTTAGGAGAAGGTCTATTAAAGCTGCTATTACTAGAGGCATTGGCTTCTATCTTTCTTCGAGTATCCTTGTAAAAACTCACGGGTCAAAAAGTCAGGCATGGAGTTTGACTCCCCTTTTATATATTCTATAGTAAATCATGTCACATGACTTTAAACTTATGACCACGGTCCATGCTGCATGACCCTAAACTGTACAGCCATAGTCCTTGTCACATGACTCAAAATTGTACGACGATGGTCCAAACTATAAGACCTTAAACTACAGCAGAGGTCGAGTTGCACGACCTCAAACTACAAAGTCCTTGTCACATGACTTTAAACTTATGACCATGGTCCAAATGTGTGACCTTAAACTAATGTGCATGTCTTGACCGCTTGATGTTGAAAGGCTTAACATTCATGGTCCAAACTAACCATAAACTGTAGCGGAGGTTTAGTTGCACGACCACAAACTATATGGTTCTAGTTGTATGACTTTAAACTGCATAGTCATGGTTCGAGCTACAATACCCTAAAACTGTAACGTGCCGTAGTCCATACGCATAACTCCAACTAGACCCCTAGTGGAGTTAGACGTATGCAAGGGTGGCACTCACCTCGTCATCTTCAAAGAGTTGAGGCCATTCTTACCCCTTCAACCCACGGTGAGGTTCATCTATGCTCTGGCCTGTCAGAGTTCCATGCACATCGATATTCATTATCCCGTGGAGTCACACTGGCCCTCCTAATTCCTAGTGGAGCCTCTCCCATTTACTACTCCTTGTAGGGCCACCACCTTCATCTACATCTCTTCGCATGTGTATAGCCTTTACTATCTTTATCACCAGGGAGTCAAATTGCTATCCACATACCTATCCCCCATGCAGCCCTACTGACATAGTGATTCGTACTCGATCCATGTTGCATGACCCTAAACTGCATAGCCATGGTCCAAACTATATGACCTTGAACGATAGCGGAGGTCTAGTTGCACGACCTAAACTGCACGGTCTTGGTTGCATGACCTAAAACTGCATAACGACGGTCCAAGCTTTATGACCTTAAACCACGGTGCGCATCCGGGACACATGACGTTAAACTGCTTTGCTCAGGTCTAGGAGGCGTGACCTTAAAACATGCCCCCGTTAACCGCACACCCCTTTCACGTGTATTTTCATGCACGCTTTCCCTAACAGGCCCATTTGTGTGCGCATACCCTCTTCTTCTCCCCAACGAGCCTACTTAGGCGTACACATCCTTTACGTGCATCTCCACGCACGTCTTCCCTAGCCGGACCATTCATGTGCATGGGCCACCTTCATCATCTTTCATCATCCCCCAGTGAGTCTTACCCATGCTCACCAAATGGCAAGCCATCTTGGCACCCATATTCACCGTCAGCTAGTGGGTCACCACCTTTCACCTACCATCCAATCAACTCTCCACATGCAACTTCATGCCATCCTCCCAAGTGAGTCAAAGTCAGCACTAGACTCACTCTGTGGTCTTTACAGACTTTCATTCCTTAATGCTACGGTCCAGTTGTATGACTCAAAACTTTAGTGTGCATCCTGACCACATGACGTTAAAAGGCATTGCACAGGTCTCGAAGGCACGACCCTAAAACACACCTGGACAAGGGAACACCATGAGTAAAAATGGCGGGCATGCGTGATCACGAAACCATGAGTAAGAGTTCCATGGAAAGAAAAAT